AAGGGATGCAATGCCATGTTGTTTCAGGGCCATGTGGTTTCAGGGCATATGCTGATCACTGGAAGGATTTTTCCTGCTAGGTAAGCACGGTCTGATTGGCCATGTTGTTATGGGATTTTTCTTCACCTTCCTCAAGAACAGCTGGTCTTGGGGCTGGACTGGGTGAGGTGCTGAGTGCGATACTGTAGAGATACCTGACTTCTGTCTGGAAGAGCTGCTTACTTTAGGATGGAGGCAAGAGCCTGTGTTAGATGGCATGTTTGTCTGATATGCTGTGTCAAACTCTGTGTTCCTGTAATGCCATGCTTCTGGGTGGGTTCCCAGCTGTGAGGATTTAACTTGTGAATCTAAGAAGCGTGAGCCTCTACTACATGAGTTAGAACAGCCACCTCTGCTAGCTATAGTTGTACAAGAAACCCCCAACTTCCGAGCACCTGAGTTACGACTCCTCGCACTTACAACCATTTTTGTACGTGCGGAAGGGGCCGAAAACCCCCAACTTATGTCCTCAGCCCGGATTTACGAAGGCGCACGGTGCCTATCATAAATGAGGGTTCGAGTTACAACACCCCCGACTTGCAGCACTTCCCCAGGAACCAATTGTGTTGCAAGTTGGGGGCCGCCTGTACTAAGTATCCTAACCCCTGTGTGCTCCAGCCACCCCTAGAGGAGGAAGGATGCCATGCTGTGTCAAGCGTGGGTTAAGTGCCTATAAGACGTACTCCACAATACATAAAAGTTAGTGTTAGGTTAATTGTGAGGGTCGGGTTGTTGGTAATTACATACAACTGAGGACATGAGCCTCCTTTAAAGACCTTTGCATTAGACAGCAAGTGGAAAGTTCCACTTGTATAAAGGGACATTCTTTGGAACACACCAATCTTGGGGAAATTTACTCCATGGAAAACATGTTACCTTCTTACACCCCGCAGCTATAACCACACCTCTGTGTTGGTCTGTTTAATGGTCACAGCGTTGGCAGCTGTATGGTCTAGTGGTTACAGTGCATGACTAGCTACCAGGGCTCCTGGATTTTGGGGTTCTATTGCTAACTCTGCCACTGATTTGAGGTGGGCGACTTACTTCATCCATATATCTGGAGGACGTAAGTGGTTCATAGGCCTGGCTCTGGCCATCTGCCCAGGAGTGGACTTTACCTGGTGACACAGGCAAGCCATTCAACCTAGTGCTGTTCCCTGAAAAAGGAGTGCAAATAGGTTGACCTCACTAACTCATTGATGTTTGTACAGTGCTTTAAGGGGAAAGTGGAAAATATCTGTCTTAATGAAATATGTTTTCTGGAGATAACATTCCTTTTGGTCCTTTGTGTTGATCTATTTAAAAATCCAAATGTTCTTGGTTATAGGGCCTGCCAGGGGTTCTTCCTGATGGCACTGGGGACCTTCAGGTAAGTTTTTCTTTATATTTTAGCATTACATCTTTAACTTAACCCCTTACACAATTTTAATATATGGATTTGGGCAAACATAGCTTTATTTTAATATGCCAGGGCTAGATCATGCAAGCATGCCCAGGAGTAGCCTTACCTATGAGAGTAATCCCATTACATTGATGGAGCTGTTTGTGCGGATAATGTCTTTCAGGTGTATAAAAGTTTACTGCATCAGAGCTCTTTCAAGTATGCAGATATCTTAGGGCTGTTGTAGAATATTCCTTGCCATTTTACTTGAATCTGATCAGGGCTTTCCTAGTGTTGATTTTGCATGTGTTTAATCCCATTCCTGTTTAATAAAAACAAGTTTAGCGATTGGCAACAGATGACAATTTTTCATGCGTCTGTTTCAACCAGAAAAGGTCAAATTTGTTGTGCTATTTATTTCCATGGGCAGCAACCCCTATTTCCGCAGGCATAAGCCTTGTTTGTTCTTTCATTTTTGAGCAAATGTCTTGATTTCTTTATTTCAAAGGAATGAAACAGACATTGAAGTAATGAGAGATATAAATGACATTTCAAGATTTCACAGCTGTTGTTATGACAGCTTCTTTGCTTTCCTAATTAGAATACTCAAAAAAACTCCACCTTCTAGCTTGTTGACATTGCCTTGTGGAAAAGATTTATGAAATATGATACAAAACAACTTTTCAGTCATTTTTAGGCCATCCTATAGAATTTAATAGAAAATTCTCTCCCTGCTACAGAATTACAAAGGTTACAAATCCCTATACATGATTTTCTTCTTTATTTCTTGTAAAGTACTAGCTATAGAATCCTGTTAAATTTTTGTACAGCTTTTGATTTAATCCCTGTGAAATTCTAGAAGACTTTCCCATGTATGCCAGGCACAGTTTAAGACTCCGTTGAGAGTTTTCTTCATTTATAACTAAATTCCCATTCCTATGAACTCTTATGCAGAAGTTTTTCCTTTGATCAGGTGAGATTAATACAACTTCAAAAGGGAGTCAAGTTGTGGGTAGAGAAATTGGAGAGGGTCCAGAGAAGAGCAACAAAAATGACTAAAGGTCTAAAAGACATGACCTATAAGGGAAGACTGAAAGAACTGTTTAGTTTGGAAAGGAGAAGACTGAGGGGGGACATGTTAGCGGTTTTTAAGTATCTTAAAGGGCACATCTAAAATGCATTCCTCTGTCGAAAGAGGAATGTAGTTGAGGCAAATCGAAAGTGCAAATGAAGCGTGGATTTAAATATCCCATGCTTCATTTGCATATTCACGTCTGAGTGCTTTTTTGAAAAAGGGTTTTTTGAAGTGAAAGCGCAGTCTAGATGGGGTTCTTTCAGAAAAAAAAAAACCCTTTTTCGAAAAAAACCCATACTCCTGAAAAAATGAGGAATACGGGTTCTTTTGAAAAAGGGTTGTTGTTTTTTAAAGAACCCTGTTTAGACTGTGCTTTCACTTTAGAAAAACCTTTTTTTGAAAAAGCGCTCAGATGCGAATATGCAAATGAAGCGCGGGCTATTTAAATCCATGCTTCATTTGCACTTTCAATTTGCCACATTTACATTCCTCTTTTGACAGAGGAATGTAGTCTAGACATAGCCAAAGGGTGTTACAAGGAGGAGGGAGAAAAAATGTTCTCCTTGACCTCTGAGGATAGGACAAGAAGCGATGGGCTTAAATTGTAGCAAGGGAGGTCTAGGTTGGACATTAGGAAAAACTTCCTAATTGTCAGGGTGGTTAAACACTGGAATAAATTGCCTAGGGAGGTTGTGGAATCTCCATCACTGGAGATATTTAAGAGCAGGCTAGATAAATATCTATCAGATATGATCTAGATGGTGCTTGGTCCTGTCATGAGGGCAGAGGACAGGACTTGATGACCTCTCGAGATCCCTTCCAATTCTAATATTCTGTGATTCTATGATTCTAAGTGTATTCGTAATTGCTGGCATGACTGAAGACCAGGTTTCCAGTAGAACAAGATCAGTATGCTGTAAATTAGGAAGGTAAATACCCCTTTAAAATGTTAAACAGTTAAATGATATAGTTTTAATGGAGTTCAGATAGCCAGCGGTGGTCAGGTGTGGGGGAGCTGCTTCAGCCTGGGCAGACTGCTGGTTAACTAGTGATGCTTACTGGCTAACCAGTTAACCTTTTACATCTCTACTGTAAACAAATATTATTGTTCTGTTTTGAATAAGGAGTTTTCAGGCCTGCTTCAGAGCCCACTGAATTCAGCATTGATGTCTCTAGGCCCTATGTTGCCCAGACTCAGCCAGGGCTACAGTCAATGTTAGGAGGTCTAGCTAGAAGAGACCATATAATTACTTTCAGTCCAGGCAGGCCGCTCCGATTGAGATGTACAGTAGGTGACTGTCTTGATGCTGAAGAAGAAGGGTTTTTTAACCCTCAGAGGAGAGAGGCATCAGTAGGAACAGTGAGGTGAAATAACCTAACTAGCTTTAAGGTGGAGCATGGTAAGTATATGAACGGGATTTTATGCTGGGATAGCAGAGAGCCAGTGACCTAGGAGGTTCCTTCTAGTCCTGCACTCTTAGGTACATGTAAACAGAGGGTGTCTAAAATTGTTATGAGATTTTACAGCCTGGATTACAGTCTCCATCTATGCACCGAGTTTTGTTTAATTTCATGTGTTGCTCTCAAGCCTTGATGCAGCATTCCCTTTATACTGCGTACTTGGGCAGCCACCCAGGAGAGATGCAAATGCTGCCCAGCTGATAAAAAGAATGCCAAGAGCAAGCAGTATGTGTTTATACTAGTGGTGCACATCTGCACATGCCTTGGTGCACATCACAAAATTTATTCTGCACAGGGATGGAAAAAAATTTGAGGGAACCCCTGAGGCCACCTTCTAAGTTTAGACCTGAAAATAAATACTTTCCTGTTGTTGAAAAGAGTTAAGAAGTGGCACCCATTACCTCTTTTGTGTGTTAATCCACCTCCTGAATTAGGTCACAGAACAGATTTCAGCATCATCGGAAGCAACCTGGGGGTTATGAACTAGAACTGGACTGTGTATGTTTACAGTTTTGCTGGGAAATGTCAGATTTTTTTCCATGAAATGTTCAGATTTTTTTGAGGCAGTGTTTCAGAGTGGATAGAACACTGGACAGGGACTCAGAAGATCTGAGTTCCATTCCTTCTGGCCTGCTGGGTGATATAGGTCAAGTCACTTAATCTCCCTATGCCTCAGTTCCCTCGTCTATACAATGAGATAATGATACTGGCTTCCACTGTAAAGTGCTTGAGTTCTATTGATGAAAAGTGCTCTGAGAGCTACAAGGTGGGGAAGGTAATGTCAAAGCAAAAGACTTCTCTGTGTTTAGGCGGCTAACAAACAGCTTTATTGATCAACAAGGCACAAAGTGAGCCAAACATGAACCCAGCAGAACCGGGCCCAGTAAAGCTGCCCAATACAAATTAATCCTAGTATTTTATACCCTTAACCAAACAAGTCTGACGTCAGGGCATTCAATCAAAGCAAACTTAAAAGATAAACTAGTATCAGCAAGAAAGAAACAGGTATTCGGGGAGTGAGAGCTCCAGCTCAAAACAGTTCATTATCGCATTCCAACAGCTCATCCTTCTGGCCTTTCTCACATCGGTGAAGGTCAGTTCACTCTCTAGTGTACGTGCAGAAGCAAGAAACTTAAACGGCTTCTGTTATATGAAGTGGCTTCTAGCTAAATATGAAATGGCTTCCACAGTAATATCTGTTATTGGACCAATGTCTGTTTCTGAGAGATCAGCTTTCAAGCTATACAGAGCTGGAAAAAGAATTCAGGTCTGGTCTACATTGCAGACCTATATCAGTATTACCTCATTCAGTGTGTGAAAAATCCACATTCCTGAGCCATATAGTCATACCAACTTAACTCTCTGGGTATATCTAAACTACATGCCTCTGTCGGCAGAGGCATGTAGATTTGTTTGTTCAGCAAAGGTAAATGAAGCCGCGATTTAAATGATCGTGGCTTCATTTACATTGACATGGCTGCCGCGCTGAGCCGACAAACAGCTGATCAGCTGTTTGTCGGCTCAGCGCGGCAGCCATGTCAATGTAAATGAAGCCACGATCATTTAAATCGCGGCTTCATTTACCTTTGCTGAACAAACAAATCTACATGCCTCTGCCGACAGAGGCATGTAGTTTAGATATACCCAGAGAGTTAAGTTGGTATGACTATATGGCTCAGGAATGTGGATTTTTCACACACTGAATGAGGTAATACTGATATAGGTCTGCAATGTAGACCAGACCTGAATTCTTTTTCCAGCTCTGTATAGCTTGAAAGCTGATCTCTCAGAAACAGACATTGGTCCAATAACAGATATTACTGTGGAAGCCATTTCATATTTAGCTAGAAGCCACTTCATATAACAGAAGCCGTTTAAGTTTCTTGCTTCTGCACGTACACTAGAGAGTGAACTGACCTTCACCGATGTGAGAAAGGCCAGAAGGATGAGCTGTTGGAATGCGATAATGAACTGTTTTGAGCTGGAGCTCTCACTCCCCGAATACCTGTTTCTTTCTTGCTGATACTAGTCTTCCATGCTGTCCAGCAGAGTGTAAGGGAAGTTGATGGGAGAATGTCTCCCTTTGACCCCTCGCGATGTAGACCCCTCAGGTACATTGACTCTGGCTATGGTATTTATGTAGCTGGAGTTACATAAATTAGTTCGACTTTGCCCCGTTAGTGTAGACCTGCCTTATGTCAGCAGGGGAGTTAATCCTCTCGGAGGTGGATTAACTACACTGACAGGAGAGCTCTCTCCCTTCGTCTTAAGGGGCCTCATGAAACCAGTGTAGTTGCACCGATGCAGTGTTTTAAGTGTAGACTCGGCCTTGGTGTTCCAAGGTGAAGTGGATAAGGAGTTAATACAGGTTGAGGAGGTTGTGAAGGCTAGGACTATAACAGGGTTTAAAAGAGAACTAGATAAATTCCTGGAGGTAAAGTCCATAAATGGCTATTAGCCAGGATGGGTAAGGAATGGTGTCCCTAGCCTGTTTGTCAGAGGGTGGAGATGGATGGCAGGAGAGATCGCTTGATCATTACCTGTTCGATTCACTCACCCTGGGGCACCTGGCATTGGCTACTGCTGACAGACAGTGTACTAGGCTGGATGGACCTTTGGTCTGACCCAGTCTGGCCGTTCTTAGGCAGCAACCCTGCAGACGGTACATGAGAGCAAGGTATCAGTGTTCTGTCTTGACCAGCAGATTTTCTCCCTCCATAAAAATGAAACCCGTCTTGCTCCAAACACCCATTGTCTGTGCTAGATAAACCCACACATGTTTGTTTTGTGCAGTGCCCAGCTCTCTGCCCCCCAGGCCCTCCGG